GGCGGCCGCGACGCGGAGAACCGGACGGGCAGCGAGCCACCGCTGCACCTCTTCCCCGCACCCGTGCTTACAGGCATCACAGTCGCCTGCATCCTCCTCTTCGTCATCGGGATCATCGGCAACCTCATGACCATGCTGGTGGTGTTGCGGTTCCGGGACATGAGGACCACCACCAACTTCTACCTGTCCAGCATGGCCTTCTCCGACCTGCTCATCTTTCTCTGCATGCCCCTGGACCTCTTCCGCCTCTGGCAGTACCGGCCCTGGAATTTTGGGGACCTCCTCTGCAAGCTCTTCCAGTTCATCAGCGAGAGCTGCACCTACTCCACCATCCTCAACATCACAGCCCTCAGCGTGGAGCGGTATGTTGCCATCTGCTTCCCCCTCCGAGCTAAAGTGATCATCACCAAGGGGAAGGTCAAGCTGGTCATCCTTTTCCTCTGGGCCATCTCCTTCATTAGCGCCGGACCCATCTTCATCTTGGTGGGGGTCGAGCACGAGAACGGCACGAACCCCCTGAGCACCAATGAGTGCCGAGCCACGGAGTATGCCATCCGCTCGGGTCTCCTCACCATCATGGTCTGGACCTCCAGCATCTTCTTTTTCCTGCCTGTGTTTTGCCTGACCGTGCTGTACAGCCTTATTGGGAGGAAGCTCTGGAGGAGAAAGAGAAAGAACATTGGTCCAAACACTGTCATCAGGGATAAGAACAACAAGCAAAGTGTGAAAATGTTAGGTATGACTCTTCTTGCTCTGTTTTTCCAAAGGATGCATGTGCTTGTGTCTCTCTGTGTGTGTGTGAGAGAGAGAAATACTGAGAGCAGTCTGGTAGTTCTTTATAGTTGCTTCCAAAGGAAAGCATTTATTGAAAATGTTTCATACAAAGTACTACACTTCAATGTAGTGTAGAATAACTCTTCTCTTTATGGTTTGAGCTGAAGACTCTCAAACAGTTAAACGTTAATAACAATCACTGACAAGGACAAACATTACAGTTATAATTAGCTAGTGCCCTGGAGATTCTTTAACATTTTTCCTTTTTGGTTGTGGGTACCAATGTTATTTACAGAAAGATAGTTTATTTGATCTTTAAACAAAACGAAACCTTTCTCAAACCACAAAGTTGAGCTGCAGACTAAGCAAGCAGGATATGATGTGCATTTAGTTTCATATGCAGGGTGCTGAGGTTTTAGCAAATTGGGGTTGTTTTCATAAGCTTACATGGCCATGCTAGTAAAATGAATCTGCCTTTTTATATTAGCAAAACACCAGGATGTGCTGAACAGGGAGCACTGCCCCTCCTTTGAGGTCTGTGATCCTGTAAATTCTCACTGACTTTAAGAAAACAGGATCAAGATGACAGACACTGTCATTCCTAACTTTGTATATTGACATTGCTGAACAGCTTAAACAACAGTCATTGCTGGCGCATGGAAACACAAATTTTAACATATTAACTCAGTGCACTTTGTGGAGTTCAATGCACAAAACCAAAAAGTTGTTCTGCAGTTTAGTGCCTGAAAACTGCAGAATCCTTCTGCTGCTGAGTCCTTTTATTGAAGCAAAAGTTCTTTGCAGCGCAAGTCATCCCATGGATTTCAGTAGCAGTGAGATGCTTTATGTGAAGAAGGTTTCATGGGCAGCACAGCTCTGCTGTGCTCATTTCAGCTGTGTTGAATTGATGGGCTAATAAGCTAGACGAAAAGGTGGCAGTGTGTCCTAAGTACCTTAAATACTAAATGGGAGCCTAACTGATTTTTTTGTTCATGTCCTACTTTATTATTGTGCAATAGCAGGAAAAATAATAAACCCCACAGCATTCTTTGTGCCCTTTCAGCTACATTTTATGATCAATAGAATTACTTCAGTCTGATGTGACCTTGGAAGTAATTCATCATTTACACTTCTAGAGTTTCAGGATCATGCATGTCTACTTACAATAAGTAAATTACTAGCATATATTACTACCATGTTTAAATTTCTACATACTTAACCATAACGAATTTTGAAATGATAACTGTTTATTTCTGCCCTGAAGCATTGCCACAAGAATTATAATATTTCCAACACCTTTTTTTTTTTTTTTTTTTTTTTATTTTAACTTTTACGAGGTCTGAAAACAGCAAGACAGTGGTAAGACTGTCCTCTGACAGGGAGCCAATATTCTCTAAAGGATAACAGTCTGGTGGAAAGAAATTAGTAAGAGCTCGGAACAAGCAGATGCTCAATACAGTCTGCTCTCACTGGTGTTAATGTTCTGCATGGAACATCAAGTAAATGGGATTAGCATCAACAACTCTTCTAAATTGCAGAGAAAGGTTATGCTTCTAGGTCCTTAATTAAACATCTAAACATACAGTTGCAAAGAAGTTACCATACCCAGTTCCTATTGAATTCAAGGTGATTCTGTATACATGAAGATCAAACTGTCAAAAGCCTGGCTAAGAATATACATGCCTACATATGAAAATATTGACTATGCTTAAAATCCTGTTCATAATGACCATCACAGTAGTATTCATTACATGGATTAAGCTTCACTTGTGAGCAAGGGAGGCATTATCTGAATTCTGTAAGTAAAGATACTGAGGAAAAAATTGAAGTGCTTGGCTCAGGAAGATGCAGAGCTGAAAAACATACTCTGAAGCTCAGCCCTGTGCTTTCTAGTCCACCATAAGTCCTGCATAAACGTCCATTTGAACTTGGCAATGCTTGTTCAGGAAGTTGTTGTGGAAAGGTGCCTATAATAATTCCTCTTAGCTCTTTGAATTTCATTATCTGCTGGGACTTGACGTGAGAGCAGGATTGTTAACATGACAGAACAGGTTAACCAGTGAAAATTACTTAAGAATGTCAAAAACACCTTGCTCTAATTTTCTGGGTTTTCTCTCTCTGATATATCAATAGATACTCAGGCAATGTGAAAAATAAGAAAGACCGATAACACACAGGAAATAAACAGAAGATGTTTCCCTTTCTCTAGTGTGGAAATTCAAATGGGCTACTGTTCAAAGCTACACACATTCCTATTGTTCTACATACGTTATTGTTACATATAAATGCAATCATAGTGATAGTGTAATACTACAGATATACTACATAACTATGAAGTATACATATATTTAATTTTACTCTTATTGGAGTAACTCATGTTCCAAAAAATGGATGAACTGAAGGGGTGGGTGCACCACTTTTCTGTTCTTACCTTGGCACACGTGCTCTAGAAGTCTGCATTCTGGTGGTTTGTTTTATTTTTGGGCCTTTGCCTTAAATAATTTTGCTTCCCAGTGATTACGTTCTTTGTTATAAACCACAGAGTTGAGTCTATCACATCATACATAATTTTCTTTTGTTAAACACTGCAGATGATAGATTATTATACTGGTTTTGTCACCATTTTGATTCTTTAATTCTCTATTTATGAAAACTTAAGTTTTATAGGTTGGAAGTGTGCTACATCAGATTAGTTATGCAATACACAGGTGGTCTGTTTAGATCTGATCAATATGTATTAAGTATTGCTAATTTATACTCTCAGAGAAGGTTTTGAGAGACACAAACCTGAAAACTTATGGGATGCATTTTCAAACTTTGCGATTAATTTTGTATAGAAATAGAATTTTGAAGTAGAATTTTAAAATAGAATTTTAATCACCCATATTTTAATACTCTTTCTTAACACAATTTCTTCTGCTGTTTTTATTTTAGTTGTGGTGGTATTTGCTTTCATACTCTGCTGGTTGCCTTTTCACGTAGGACGATACTTATTTTCCAAATCCTTTGAAGCTGGATCCTTGGAGATAGCAGTGATCAGCCAGTACTGCAATTTGGTGTCCTTTGTCCTCTTCTACTTTAGTGCAGCCATCAACCCCATCCTCTACAACATCATGTCAAAGAAGTACCGAGTCGCCGCTTGCCGCCTGTTTGGACTAAAACCCCTTCCAAAGAAAAGACTCTCCAGCAAAAAGCAAGAAAGTTTGCATGTTTGGACAGAACCAAGTGTTATCACATGACACCTGATTTCCAGCACTGGAGCATCACTTACCCATGTTTCCCAGAAAGCCATAACAAAAGAGAAAGAAACACGAATTGAAACTCTAAAGTTGTACTTCTGTCACCATCTGGATTTGCTGAAAGATGTAATGTCAGCAGTTAAAGATAAAAAACCAAACCAAACCAAAAACCTAAACAACAAAATCATCAAAAACCTAAATTTCGAGACCATAAAAGGAGACACATGATTACAGAATTTGGCAACACACAAGTATAATTTTTGTGCTACTTTTTCCCGTATGATTTTTTTAATGCTGGCTTTAGCAGGAGAGCTAGGCTTTACCGTCCTTAACAGATGAACTTAGTACAGTCCACTTGAGAGTCTGTGTGGCTTCAGTAGCAGCTAATTTGAGATTGATTTTTCCAGAGTTAAGTTTACTTTTGCTAAAAATTTTGCTAGCATATAACCATATAACCAGACACTACAGAGAGAAAACTGAATGGCCTTTTTGGAGTAGAGAACACAGAATTTGATACACTTTTCATAATCTTGATTTTTAAATAAATACTTTTCTCTGGATGAGGAAAATGATTTCTGAAGAAAAGAAGAAGTAGTAAAATAGATAAAAATAAACAACCTTCATGTCATATCTGAGTAGAAAGGAAAAAAAAATGCCCTCACAGAGTGGCTTAGACCATGACTGTACTGAAATATCTGTTTTAAGTATGTATCAGAGGGACAAGGACAGTGCTGATTTGAGGACTGCAGTGATGCTATAAAAATATGGAATGCAATCTCCCACCAAAGTTCTTTAGTTTTGTTTTTGTTATTTTTTTACTAGTTGAATCATCTGTACTCATTCTATTCAGCTTGTCTGTGATTGACTTGATGTGTTTGAACTTGGAAGCTTTTAGTTGTTTTGATATTTGTAATGATTCTGTGACTACTTGTCCCTATGCTGTGCACTACTTTACACCCAAAGTTTGTTGAGGACAGGTCTCCTGCCTATAAACCCCCACTTGTTTCTGTCTAAAGTGTATGAGGCAGTTAGCAGTACCACGTTTCCCCATAAAGCTCTGTGTGCACTTGTACTAGTTTGCTGCAGTATTAAACTAAGAACATTTTTTTAACCAACGTGACCTGACAAAGTAATAGAAAAATCTGCATTAGAAGACACAGGCAGGCATATTCTCATACTTCCTCCATAAAAATCTTAAATGCAATTGATTTTTATAACTGAAGTATGCCATTAAAAGGCAAACCAGAAAACTTTCCATCCTTTATGTTAATAAGTATGTCTTATATTGCATCTATTGTCACACCAACACATAGATTTTGTGGACCAGGTAATACAGAGCATGCATGTGCAAAAGCAGCTTTCTGTTTCCTTTGTTCTAGTATTTATTACCAGCTGGTCCACAACGGATTCTCCCTAAAGAATTGTCTGTTAGCAAAAGTCCTGTTGCCTTCAAATTCCTATTAACACTGACAGGCCGTTTTCCACCTGTTACACCTGCAGCTGACGGTATTGCTCAGGTGTAACTCAAAATAGAATTTGGCCTTTTCTGTAAATACTGCATCTTTTATACCATCTTTTATACCTGGCTTTGCTACGGCCAGGGGGCTGATTGCTGCTCTTCAGTGTGGTGCCTGAGCCTGTCTTGCTCCCCACTCCAGCACTCACAGACAGCATAGGTTTGATGTATGCAAACCTACAAATTAAGGGACAAATAAGCAGCAGTGCTATAGGATCATTTAATCTCTAATCACACCTGTCTTGTTACCGATGTTGTTCTCTCACTCACTGACCAACAGACAGATCTGATGGCAGATGTCATGCAACTCAGGGAAACAAGAAATTTTGGAATCTTGAAAAGATTTGAAGATGTGAACTCACTTATAACATGTCTCTGTAAATGAACCAGTCACAACACCTAGTGTCACGTGTTTCAAATCTCAGCTGTGCCTGTGGTATTAAATGTGAACAAAATAAGAAATAAAGTGATGGGACCCTTTATAGACCTACCTGGTTGTTGGTAGTGGAGGATCTGGTGTATGATTTCACACAGGCTGGAGAAGCAAGTCGCCGTCAGGTTCACTCAGCACTGCCACACACCACTCCTCGCCATGTGGGAGCTGGGCACAGTGCCGGGTGCTGCAGGACTGGCAGCAGGCAGGGCAGGCACCCACAGCATTGGGATGGGGCATGGAATGGTTACCAGCGTCATACACAGCCTGCAAGACTTCACAGGCTTGCTCTGTTCCCTGCAAGTAAAACCCGTGTCTCAGTTAGTTATAGGAAGAGATTCTGCGTGGCCAGAATGGTCCCACAGAGGCTTTTACCTAGCAGAGAAGCTGCATCGTTGGGTTTCAGTTTTTTTCCCAAACCTGCGTAACTAACTTCATCAGGCTATAGGTTTTTTGGGTGGGGGTAATTGGTTTTTTTGGGTATTTTTTGGTGCCTTTTTTTTTTTTTTTTTTTTTACCAGGAAAGCTGTAACATTAATGCCCATGAAAGCCCTGTGTACACACATTTAATTTCTGCATATAGACTATAATGATACTAATAATTTCATTCAACCCAACACTGGAAGGCAGGACAGGACTTTTTCTGTCTTATTTAGGAAATGGACTTATTTCTGCAAGTCATTGAACATTTGGCCAAATCTAACAAAACACACACATAAAAGAAGACTAGCCACCTTCATGATTCTTGCATAAGCAGGAAAATACTGTGGATCTAGCAGGGAACATTCAAGCATTTAATACATGCTGTAGCTGTTCTATATCATCCATTAGTTTTGCTTTCCTCAGTACTGAAACTTTTCCATATAGAAATGCTAAAGCCAGTGGAGTCACACCAGCATGCATTAACTCCGGATGGTGAATAGGGTCTGCTTCCTCCAACAGGTTCCTATGCATGCTTTTTATATGGAAAACGAGAAGAAAAGATATCACCTGGATAACCTTCTCTTCTGCATCACAAAATCAGCTATTGTCAGATGCCTCCAGAAAGATATATACCTCCCCACTAGAACTGTTGGATGAATCCACAATGCTTGCCTCAAGGTTTATTGCCCAAGTTGTGAGAAATAACTTCATTGGGAATGAAAGTGCAGTCAAGATTTCAATAGCATTTTTTACCAAAGAGCTGCTACCTGAATTCAGTCCAAGATAGGTGTCATGGATTTGTCTCAGGTAGTAACACAGGGCGAGGTTCCTCCTGCCTTGTCTTTACCAGGACTTTCAAAGGCAGAGCAGATGCTGTAGGCAGAGAGTGCAGTGGCAAACAACCCACGCTGGCAAAAGCAATGCTGACGCTGGTTTAGCCATCCATCTCACCTACTGCACTTGCTCGGTGTCCACAGTGTAGACTATCCTGGAAAATATCTTCTAGCAGAGACAAAAAGCATTTCTCCTCTGTTTCCCAGGGCTTTTCTGCAGCACTTCATGTTCCTGGCACCTTCTCCCTATCTGAAAGAGCATAGGTGCCTCCCCCACCCTCTTTTGGATCTGGATATGGCTTTTGAGATCTGTTTTACATGCAGAGAAGACAAGAGCCCATGCAGGCACTGGGCTATTTGTTAAATGTGGCAGACTGGATAGCTCCGCAGCACGATTTCCTATTGAACCATAGGCTGCATTTCTGGAAACTCTTCCCTGCAGAAACAAAGTTAGCCAGTTCT